AATAATCATTTTTAATTCCATTAGTTAGTAATCCAGCAAATGCCATTTAACAAACACAGTAACTGTGCACACATATCAATTCAAAACTAACTCTGAGTACTGAAACAAATTCAGTCTATATCATCAACTAATAAAGCTTCTTTAAATGCATTTGACTTAAAGGTCCCCTATTATACTGTTTTCCATCAATATATTATAGGTCTCAGATATATACAAAACATGTCTCTGAAGTGTTTGGCTCCAAACACCAAACAGATCATTGCAGCATCCCATAATCCCCTCTGTTTCAGCCCTGTTTCAAAAGTGCTGATTCTCTGTCTGTTACTTTAGATGAAAATAAGGAGCCCCTCCCCACGCCCCTCTGAGAGATATTTGGTTAAAAAGAACACAATGGTGCTCTAGGAGGAAATTCAGGTGATAAGGTGGGGGGGGTTACCTTGGTTGGTGATTAGCTAATGGTTACACAAGCCAAAAAATCGTTATAACATCATAAAGTGGCCAAAATCTGATCAGCTCATTTTCAGACAGGTTTTTATATAAATGGATCAGGACAAAAAGAGAGGGAATCTTTTTTCCTGAAACTTTCAGAATCTCTTTACACAGAGGGGACACATGTTGATGTAGAAAATACATGAAAAAGTGGATTTTGCATAATAGGTCCCCTTTAAAGAAAACTTGCATATCATATACACAGATCATGATGCATGAAGCCAGCCAGCTTCTTTGTTTTCTGAAGATCTGTTTGTCTTTGTTGACTCTGAGGCTCCGCAGAGGAAGGTAGAGGAAGGTTACTGACGGTGGAAAAACCCGAGAGCTTGAGCTCGAAGATCGCCATCTGCAGGACTGACCCTTCAGGTACACACATACACACTCCTGTAAGGCTTATACACATGCAGTCATGGGATGTTTTTCACACACTTAAGAAACAAAGGCAGCCATATGTAAATGATCCATTCTGGTGTATTCAGTGCACCAACACATCACTGGAACAGACTTCCCATTGAATATACTGCAGAGAGAATAATGTAGGACAACACAGAAGAAACACTTAACTTCTAAAGTTTTTTTTTTTTTTCAGAGGAATTAAAAAAACGTTGGCTTATTTATAGGTTTGCTTAAGCATCAGATTCAGGGCCATAATTGTCCATGATATGAACGTACTAACACATCCTCGGCAGCAGAGGGCAGTCTTTCTGTATTTCAGATCTTTCCTGCTTTTACTGTAAGTGTTATTTTCCTCTCAATAATGTCCTGTAAATGTGTGATGGTGAATTACCTACTTACACACAGACTTACACACAGACTTAGACACAGACTTAGACACAAACAATTCTTAACTATGACACACATTACTTTATGGACTGTCATGACTTTAGGAAATCGCAGACACTGCATTTTTCACTGAGTTTATGTCAGCCATTATTTTTTCTTCGCAGTAAAATTGTTGCCGGAAACCAAACAAGATATTTTTAAGTAGAAGCGCAATATGCTTTGCAGTTTCTGTAAAACCAAACACAATTGTACCTAAAGTTACATTTCACTTCAGTTACTCTTCTACCACTTTTGTTTCTCTTTGCTCTCTTTTTTTTGTTTTAAATAGCAGGGTGTAGTCAGTTACATAACTATAGTTTAACTTATTAAATGAAAATTAAAAGGATTTAATAACATTCATGATGATCCTTATTTGCAGAACACCTTTCAAATGGACAAATTAAACCAATTCCATGGTTATAAGAATCAAGTAAAAAAAAAAACGTTTTAAATAAAAGTATGCATAAAGAAATTATTTGAAAGATTATACTGACTTTGTTTCAAAGCCAGCGGCCTGGAACAGATAAAAGACGTCTGCCCGAGGATCTGAAGCTTGCATCATTTTAGAAGGTCAGTCGGAAAGGTAAGGCTACTCAGAGCCTTAAAAGTAATCAATACGATCATAAATGATTTCTTAAGACAAACTGAAAGCTATCATGCCCAGCTACATTTTAATTAAACATAGATTTTGCGGGAAGATGCCTTAAAGTCTGACGGCTTAGGGCTGTCCCACGGTTAAATCATCAAGTGCCCGAGGGCTCTTTTGACGACATTTTTAGCCATTTAGGCCAATTTCAAATATGTTCACATTTCTTTAGACTGTGCCTGAGAATCACACCCAATTCATAGACTTAAAGGACAGGGTCACCAGGTGAAAAACAAAGAAAACTGCTCATGGGTGATCAGTCTGGCATGTTGAATCTACACAGGAACCTGACATTAGCTGTTTTAAAAAAATATTATATAAGGTTAAGAGATACAGAGTTAACATAATTCAGAATGTTTTGTTTTGATAACTTGCACAATCTTGTTTGACAAGGTGGGGGTCAACTTTCACAAAGACCTTGAAGTGTTGCTTCTCGTCAGTGATAATTATATCCAGTAATATTGCGTAAGGGATTGGGCTTTTGGAAGTGTTTATGGTTTCTTGTAAGCGGAGTGAAACCCCCCCCATTCCTGTACTTTGTACCTATCTCATAAACATTCGTGGAGACAACTCCCAGTTTAGCATGGGTGAATCATATGTTTTCATAGGACAAAGTGTTCTTATTGTTTTAGGTAAAAACCTGAATTTGGACTTCCTCTAACATGCAAGGTGTACCAGCCGGAAGTTTCTCTCAAACATCAACTGGTCAGCGGTTGTAAAATCAAGGTCCACAGTAAAAGAGGTTTTCGCTTTTGACGTTTCACTTCAAAACATAACTGATTGATTGCGAATATGACTAAATACAGACGGCAACATTTACAAATTAAAGTATTGTCTATAGTTTATCTTGCCCATGTTTGGTATCTTGTTCAATTATAAATGAACCTTTTCTTTGAGATTACGTTCAAATGATTTGCATTAAAAGTCCCCCATTTTTTTGTTCTATTTTAGTCACTTTTATATCATTCCTTGACCTTTGATATGCTAACCATATACTAATGGATCCTGTTTCCTTTTCAGACCAATTCTCTTCTAGAAACCTAAAAGATTATTTACAAACTGGTTCTGCTTCACGCATGCAGGTAAAGGCAGACAGGTTTTTAACATGCACTGTAAACTTTAGTGTTCACAAAATATCCTAAACTACCACTTTGTATTATTTAGATGAATTACAGTCAAGAGGGCACTGCAAATGATTTGTTTTCTTTAATCACGTAAAGCAGGGCTATTCAATTGGGGTGATATTTGCCCTTTGAGTATAATGTTAAAAAGTAATCTACTTTGTTTTTTAAGATTTTTTTTTAAAAAGATTTGTTTTGGGGCCAGAGTGCCTTTATTCCAGAGAGGGTGTTACATTGAGAGATAGAGGGGAAGACATTGCCTGAAAACTTTGGCGGGCTCGGGTTTCGAACCCACCTACTAGCTACTGCAGTGACAACTCCTGTCATTTATTGCATCTGCGTGAATGATTAGTTAATTTCACCTAAATCAAATGAAATGATGTTGATGGTTAAATTAGCTTCACATGTAGGCCTACTGAGTTCTGAACTTGCCATTTAGATCTATAAAGGCCTTGGGGCTATGTTGTTTGATTGAATTAAACACAATATATGCACTCCATATGCTGTTGTAGTATGTACTGTATCTGAAGCTCTTAATATGATTGCTCATATTTCAAGCCATCTTTTTCCCGGCCCCTTGCTTTGGATCATTTTCATCAACCGGCCCCCATTCCAAACTAATTGAATAGCCCTGCCCTAAAGTATTGAAATACAGTTCAGATGAACACAAATCTTCACACAGCACTTAGTTCCTGTTCACCCCTTCTAATAAATCAAACACAGGCTGGGTTATTAATCAATAACAGCACTGAGCTGAGAGCTAATTGTGCCGGTCTTTATCTCATAATGTAAACATTTGAATAGTCGGGGCATGTCTTGTGTTTTCACTTTTGTGTCCATCTGTGTTTTGTTTTTCTCTTTTAAGTCGATGTGTGTGCGTAGAGTTTGCCCTTTGGTCAGACGGTTGCTAAGAACCCAGTCTACTTCCTGCAGATGATATTAGATATGGAGTAATATATACATATATATAAAGGCTTTTCATCAGGCTCAGCAACAAAGGAAATCTTTATCCGTCATCTGGGAGAAATATATTCTAATATAAGCAATATTACATTTTTATCTCTGCTCCTTTTACCAGGGCTGTTTTGGCAGTAAGAACTGGCATTGTGCCGTATGAAGCAGCGGAGATGCTTTTTGTCTTTTCTTCTTCCTTGTGTTGTTCTTGCCAATGTTTCAAGAGACTCAATAGATGACCAATATGAAATCCCGGAAGACCAGTGCCTTTGAATGTGGACTTTGTGAAGGGTGCACCCAACCCAACAAAAACACAATCTTGCATGTACACAAGTCAGTTTATTGCAGCCTTTAATTAGATTTTACAGTGGCTTGGAATAATTAAGGTGGATGTTTTTTGGTCATGCTCTTGACAGAGAAGCTGTGTGTTGTGGTTTCGCCATCCAGAGATAGACTCCCAGCTTGCCCCAATTACATCACCCAACACAACCAAAAACCTTCAGCAGCTCAAAGGTAACAATAAGTATTATGTCCAACTTCTCTCAAATGTTTATGTTGTTAGTTTTGTCTCATTTTCTCCAAAGCTTATTAAAGAAAAGTGCATTTTCCCTAGTTTCTGATAAATTGTCAAGTCCTCGGTTTTAAGTCAACTGTTAAGATGAATCTGATTAGTTTCAAAATACAAATGAACAGTGTCACGAAAGAGGCTTTAGAGAGAGAAACAACAGCCCCGTAGTCAGCTGGTATAAAGCACCAAAACATCATAAAAGCGGCCCATAAAATAAAAACCACCACATCAATAAAGATGGATAATTAAAGATCATCCAGCTACTATACTAGCCTCATCACACAGCTGTTGGTTTATCTGGACTTTGATTTACACTGAGTGGTATTGTTCCACAAAGAAGACGTACGGTAACCTGGAAGATCATTTGTATGTAAATAATACACCGAAATATTGTCGGCCATCACTGGAACAATTTGAATCTGATAACAGAGATTTAATGTTTTTTTACAATACACAACAATGTACAAAGTCAATAATTGTATCATTAAATATTTCCAGTTTTGTTGTGAGAAGTAAGTTGTCAGGTCGGTTCCTGATGAATGTTAATACTTAAAATCAATATATTACAGGTTTGTATGACATATTATTTCAGCTCTCCAGTGAATTTAGATATGAATTCCACAAAAGCAGTGAGGATGATCATGATGTCCCATTTTTGTTGGTACTTCTGCATCTTTCTTTAAGGTGTCTGGCTCTTCTGTTCCCGTGTTTCAACCTCAAAGCCGTCATTGCAGGAGGGGTTTAGTTCACCTCGAGCAGAGGACTTCTTAATTCTGCAGCAGATCAGTTTGTAGAGAGCCACCACAGGGATGGAAATCACAGGCAGAACACACAGGAGGATGATTATGGCAAACACCCAGTCTGGATATTTCAACATTTTAGTTTCTGGGAATAGTTCCTAAAGAGAAAGAGAAGAAGTACAATTACTAATCATTAATTGGACATTTTGTCAGACTTGCCTATTCTCTTTTTGAATTCTTAAAATCACTTTGCTCAACTAAGAAATACTTCGAGCTCCTCTTAAAACTAGATCTAATTTGAACTTTTTCTTATTTGATTACAGCAGCTTTTAAAATGAACTGATACATTGCTGTTTTAAGGAATTTTAACTAGAGCACCATATATCCAGTATATATATTCTTATATAATGTATTCAACATCTCCATGCGAGTACCCTCGGCTTGCTTACATAGTCTGGGTCCCATGAAGGATATGAGGGGTGCGTCTGTGCCTGGATGGCCACGTAGGCAACAAACACCACCAGGAGCATCAACGGACTGATCACCATCCAGCAGGCCTTCCAGAAGATGTTGGGCCTCTTCCCCGTCATAAAATAGATGTCTTCACTGAACCTGTCAGAAGAAATGTGGAGAAGCAGATAAGGTTTCACGCCATCTCGAGAATTATAGCGTAACACTACTGAGTATCAAAGAAGAGGATCAAAAGTTACGTTTTCATTCCACGACCATAAGCGACAGCAATGATCTCAAAGAACGCTATGATGAGGAGAGGTACGGAGCCCACGTAGCTGTTAAAGACCTCCACCCAGTAGTTCCCCGAGCCCAGGGTGAAGATGAGAGCCGTCAAGAAGGCTATCAAGCAGATGATTGCTAGGGAAGTGAGAAAATAAAAGTTTTCAGAAAGAACATTTAAAGGGTAAAAGCTGTTTCCCTTTTACTTTGTTGCAACCTAATCTGATTAGTAGAGTTAGTCTATATACATTGTATCATTAGAATTACAATGTTTTTGACTGAAAACGTTATCAATATTGCGACAAATTCGTAGAGGTTTTCATAAAATATATACAAAATGTGTTAAATAAAATAATGCGGGTATAATGAATAAGACCAATAATAACAACTTAGAAGGTACCATATATCTACTATAATGCACTCTTTAAAACCTATATAAGACAACACTTTACACGCCATATTAAGATATCCAAATACTAACACAATATCTTGTCCTATATCAAGATACAGCTCTATTTGCAGGTACCTGTTACGACTTCAGTAGGGATCCACTTTGGCACTAGCTTGAGCTCATTGATGGGCGTCAGGACTCCCTCTATGGTGCCAAACATGGAGGAGAGACCCAAGCTGAAGAGCATGACGAAGAACAGTATCGCCCATATCTGCGAGCCTGGCATCTCTATCACTGCTTCACTGATCACAATAAAAGCCAGGCCGGTACCCGATGCGCTCTGGGGGAGGAAGATGAAAGAGAGGCGAGAAATGAAGGAGTAAACATGAACTGACTGTACCAGCAGAGGATGTACTGCACTCCGGGAAATGGAAGGGGTGGCAAATGGAGGACAAGGATTTAAGGGAAGAGGGAAATTAAGAAAGAACACACTCAGGCAAAAAAGAATGCAATATGTGAGATTGCCTGTGTTTTCATACTAACTGTACCTGGTCAAGAAATGTTTGAAGGTCACAGTGCTTTAGGTTCAAACTGGCCAAGTCATCTGGAGATGTACGATTTAAATACTCAAACCAGTCATCATAGTTCTCCAGTGTTATGTTCTGGTCCGAAAACTCAAAGTGGTTTGTCAGAGACATGATGTTTCTGCAGATGGAATACAAAAATGACTGCCTTATTGCTATCAATAAGGAACAATTTTTGAATTACACTGAATATATGCGTGTAGTGTACATACTCATTGCGACAGGAATTGAAGCCGTTTGTAGCTTTAAAACCCAGAATGGCAAAGATGGAAATGGAGGCGTAGAGAGATGTGGCACTGTTTATTACTCCTACTACAACAGCATCCCTCTCACAGTTGTTCCTAATGGACAAAGAAGAGGAAACAAGTCACACAAGTCATTCAAATGTGTGAGTCAAGTGAGTTATAGTCCTTACCTCTCTTCGTTATAGCTGGAGAAAGCTATGAGACCTCCAAAGGCCACCGAGAGAGAGAAGAAGATCTGAGTGGCAGCGTCCAGCCACACCTGAGGGTTCTTCAGGATCTCCCACTGCAGACAGAGTCAACACATCAGTTCATTGTGTCCGTCAGGTACTCTTGACATCACCTTTAGTAGCAACACACTCACATCAGGAGTGAAGAGGTACACCAGTCCATCAGTAGATCCCGGCAGAGTGAGAGCCCGGATCAGGAAAATAGTCAGCACCAGGTAAGGGAATGTGGCTGTCACATACACAGCCTGAAACAAGCAAACAATACAGCCATCTTTAACTCTTGGTAACACTTGTTTTTATTTTTGTATTGTTTCCCAGGAAAACCGACCTTCCCTATTGACTTGATGCCTCTGATAAAGCAGATGTAGACCACACACCAGGCGCTGGCCAGACAGATGACCAGCCACCATTGCAGGGAGCCGCTGGTCTCGATGTCAGGTGTGATGTTCAGGGTCTCACGGTACCAGAAGTAGTTCGCTGGAGTGCTCTTCACACACTCCTCATTATAGCCTGTAAAGATGCACATTAGTGAAAAAGAATTGCAACATTGACCTTTGTCCCAGCCAAGGAGTATTTGGCTTGGTTGATTTGTTTGCCAGTAGGATAACAGATAGTCTACTGTCCCAACTTTCAGGAAACCTTGTGTTAGGATGTGTCATTGGCCAAGTAATAATCCACTACATTTTGGAGGGAATCCTGAAATTGTTCATCAGTTTCGTTAACATGAAAATGTGCATTTGTACTGCATTCATGTGGTGTAGCATATAAAAACAAATGAGTTCCAGCGGGTTGAGCGTTGGTGTTCAGATCAGGGGGTCGCAGGTTCAAACCCCACTGCAGTCAGCATGTCGTTGTGTCCCTGGGCAAGACACTTCACCCCAAATTGCTCCTGTGGGGATTGCCCACAGTATTGAGTATGTAAGTCGCTTTGGATAAAAGCGTCTAACAAGTGACATGTAATGTTTTCACTTTTCGAATCTAAGCTCATAAACACACCAAAGTCGGAAGAACAACTTCACAATACAGGAATTGGGACCCTCCAAGAGAATCCATAATTTGACTTGGCGAAGTACAGTGCTCTCAGAGAGTCATACTAGTTGGTATTGTGTTGGTTTGTTGATTGGATTGTTTAGTTGAAACTACTGGCTCCATTATGCTGAAACTTGTGGGAAAGGTTTGTCATGAGCCAAGGTAAAAACCCATCAAATGTTGAGTCATGGGGCGGATACACATTATATTTCACTTATGGAGAAAGCATTGTCGGAAGTTTGTGCTCAATGATTTCCCTTTTAGTTATTTAATGTTGTGTTGAAGAATCTCTTTGGGCCATAAAACAATAAAAACAGCCATTATCTCATTCAATTTGACATGGAATGCAATGTGGAGCCTGATGAGTCCTCTTGTAACTGTTTTATAATTACGCCACTATCTCAAACCCAATTAGATACATTGGATTTATTATATATTGGCAAAGGCAATATTTCTATCACTGTGGTATTTCTATCACAGCGTTCAGTGTGACAGTAACGCATGTAGTTTACCTGTGAGGTTAGTTTTCCTATGAAACCTGATCTGAAATGCCACGTGGAGCCTAATAGTTAACCAGTCCTTGCATGTGTGATAATAGAACTGTAAAAAGCAGCTAGCGTGACTGATGGGGTTTCTTGTTACCTGTGAGATTAGCATTGAGCGGGCACTGGCTCCAGGGCAGGGGGTTTTGGAAAGAGTGAAAGAAGTACCAGAGCACCCAGGCCAGGATGGTGTTGTAGAAAATGCCCACCAGGAATGACACTATCATGGAGGCAATTCCTACACACAGGGAATAAATTACATTTTTCATACTGATAAAAAGCTCTTAAAATATTGAAAAATGTGACAAGTAATCCTAAATTCTCCTTATAATTCTAGGCCACCCACCAATTCCCCCCAGCATCGGTGAGATGGAGTTCCAGACGCCGATGCTGCCCATGCGGAGCCTCTGTCCTATAGCCAGCTCCAGGTAGAGCAGAGGGAGGCCCTGAAACACCAGCGCTATCAGGTAGGGGATGAGGAATGCACCTGAAGGCAAATACTGCACAATTAGAGCCAGATAGGACCGTCTGTATCAGCGTACTTTGCAGAGAAATTAGGTTTATCAACACAACAAAAGATCTTAGTGAAACAGTGGACAACTACTTTCTTATCATCGAATCACAATGGTCATAACAGGGGATAGTTCAGGCCATGCTAAATAAGTAAAAATAGGACGTCCAGAAAAACATGAGAGAAAAAAAAAAAATTACATAATTAACTGTTTGCTTACCTCTTACGTAGGTTCTTTGGTATTCTATTGCGACAACACAAACTATCTAACTAGGAACTATGAGAAAGTAAATACAGAAATTGGGTCAGTTGACCGAAACGAATCTGTGATGATAACCCCATTCATCATACACAGATAAGATTCACCAATGTGACAATGACTGGTTTGTCCATGTTTTAATGACTAATTAATGCTGTGAAGAGAGAATCTAAAGTATTTATTTCAATGAATTCAGTATCTCATGTTTTGTTTTGAATAGTCTGAAAAAAAAACGAGGTATACAGTAGAGTGAAAAAATCACATAATTGATAAAACCCGTATTTAACAGCAAACAAAATTAAACTATTGTGTGATTTAAGATCAGGGAAATATAATGTTGATAATCAGAATCAGAATACCTTTATTAGTCCCACAGAGGGAAAATGTACGTTGTTACAGCAGAAAAAGAGCCACAGACAGCTTAATGTTGTTACATGCATTAAAAAGTATTAAAGTAAAAATATAATTTAAAAAATAAAAAGTTACACAATTTACAAATTACACATCCTGTAACAGTTCTTAGGATTTAGCAGACAGGTATATATTGCACAGTTATTAACGGCATATATATATATATATATTGCACATATAGCACATATAGTGCTGATAGAATCATATAATCTTACCTCCTCCATAGATTTGGCACAGGTACGGAAAACGCCAGATGTTTCCAAGTCCCACTGCAAAGCCGATACATGTTAGCAGGTACTGAAATTTGTTGTCCCATTTGGGTCTCTCCTCCACCTCAGAGTCTTTTGTTTTGCCCATCCTTAGCTGGTAAAAAGATTTAGCAAAATTCCACTTCTCTTGCAAGGGTGCAACTCTCCTATTCCTAACAAACACTAGAATATATTTTTATTTGTCCACAATTTTCCTGATCTCAGCTCAGTGTATGTCAAAATATACTGCCTTGTATAGTCTAGGTGATGTCCAGTGCACTTCCCGCGTCCTCTGTCTTACTCACTAGGTCTGTCCTACTGTCCTTTCACGTCATAGAAGTTACAGCTTTATTCAGGCTACAGATTTTATTGTTTTTTATGAAGAAATCAAGTTACCAGGGAGAGGGAGGGAAAACATCAGGCATAATGATTTTGTGATTGAACCTCCCTGTTCTTTTCTTCAGAAATGGGAGTGTGCTAAGCCTAAAAATAATGGATAACCTGGTGATGCTGTTTCAATGTAACACAGGCCTTAAGTGACCTGTTTGGATGCAGTCAATACAATAGACAAAATGAACGTTGTTTCTTGATGGAGCCATATCTTCATCCAATTACTAACACTTACTCACACAGCAAAGTATATACATTTAAATGCAGGGTGCGTACGGGTGCTGGAAATCCTTGAAAATGCTTGAAATTGTACGAGGTGTTTTCAAGGTTTGAAAAGTGCTTGAATTTTGGGAATGGTGCTTGAATTTAGGATAAAGTGCTTGAAATTGTAAATGCTTTACTTCGCTTTTTAGATTAAAAGAAAATAAAGAAGTCGGAGCGCGCTTAATTGCTTCGCTTTTACATAAAACAGCTCCGCTCCGGCCTTCCCGCGCAATGCGCGTGACCTGCAAGTGTTTTTGTTACGTGTGTGACCTGGGCATTCTGATGAGAGTGATAGATGACAGTATGACAGGAGGTTGCCGTTTCAACGAGCGTTGGCTAGCAGAAGACAAATACAAGCCATGGCTAAGACGAGGGTCAAGCGAAGCCCAAGAGTAGCCTCCTGCAAAGTGTGCAACAATAACGATGCGAGAGTCTGCGCTGACGAGCAGTGGCGTCGCCTGGGGTAGAGCCCCGGATGTTTTTTCTTTAGCCCCGGACAAATTCTCCCTCAATATAATACATTAACCGTACTTCTTTACCTATAGGACGGCAGATTTGTAATTTCCCGTGTTCAGTGAATGCAACATAGGCAAGCCAAGACACCACCAGACCAATCAGAGAGTTGCATGGAAATAAACGTGTTTTATTGGCTGACAGGTACGTACCTCTCCTCTGTGACAATGTTTAAACTTTAAACTGTCAGCCCCGGACGCGGAGATTCTGAAGATGGACATTAGACATGTTTTCAATAAAAAAGACGGCAATACTCAAGTGGTGGCTCACACAACAACCCCAGAGCCACCACCTGAGCCAGGTGAACAAGGTATGTACATGTCAGTAAACTTACAAGTTATGCGAACATGTAAGCAAAGCATAAATTACAGCTACGTTGACGTTACTTTGAATCGCACGGGTAATCTAAACCGTTAGCAAGTAGCTATAGCGAGCCAGATATATTAAATAAACACTTTGTCATACAATATAAATGTTGTGTTTTTTAGCGTTACCTGGTGATTTCAAAGAAAGCTCTCTGGGAAATGTTGACTTACTGTTCGACAGGAAGCTAGAAGCTACCTTACAGTACACAGTTGATCCTGAGTCCTGTCAGTTAAAGTGTTTCATAGTTAGCTTAGCTAAGCATCAAACTAGCACTGAAATATATGGATGTTATGTGACAGTATTTCTGAGAAAAGTCAGTTTAAATGGTGGCCTAGTTGCCACTGCTTTACTGTCGACAGCACGTTTGAACGTATTTGCAGCAGTAAATGTGGCTGTTTGGCCACTGACGTTGCCATAACACCTGAATTTAAATGTGCAACCTCTTTTTGTGACAGATTTTTGCATGAAATTATAATTCTGATTGATATTTCCTATTGATAGCTAGTTTCTATGTGAACATTATGAGATAGACAGCCAGCTAACAAGCTTTTTATATACAAAGATTTCAGATCAAAGCTAATCCAGTAGGGCTCCTGAAAGGGGACAAGGGACACTATGCTCCCAAATATTAAGCCTCGACCCCCATCTTAAAATTGATATGATCAAAAAATCTGCATTGTCGGAGGCCTTTTTTCCTCATTATCATGTCAAATTGTACAGCTTTCCTTAGTTTTGAATGCAGAAAGATGACTATTCGAGTATTACGTGAAAATGACTATATTTAAGTGTTAAGTAAATATATTAAGTGAATTACTCAAACTGCATTTGTATAGGAATGATTCTCTCCTATTGGCAGATAACTACTAACAGTGATATCTACTGTACAAGAGGTTTCCAATGTCAATTTAACTATTTTCAATTGGTTAGTATTATATTTTGTGACAGTGTGGTGACACTCATTTTAATGAAGACAAATTTGTGTATCTTGAAATTCATTTATTTGACAGAGCTGGAAACTGATTTTAAATACTTGTTTGTGTTTACCTACACAGTCATCACAGATGAGCCAAAAATAGTAGAGGATGAAGAAAGGAGAACAGGAGAAAGGGACACACAAGAAGGAGATACAACAGATAAGAACAACAATGAACAGGAACATCAGAACAGACAAGAGTCAATGGGTAACTGGGTAACTGATTTAGGGACTGCAGATACAGGGCCAAGGCAAGTGAGACATCACTGTTTTCCATCCGGCATGTTTGGCCAGCAAAAGAGATCATTTCAACCAAGTTGGTTTGATACTTTTAAATGGGTTGAATATTCTACCACTGCCAATGCAGCATTCTGCTTTAGTTGTAGACTATATGGCAAACCAAAGCAATCAAGGGATCAAAGGGACACCCTCACCACCTCAGGATACACAAACTGGAAGCGTGCATTGGATTCTTTTCGAGAACATGAAAATTCAAACATACACAAGGCTCTTCTTTCCAGTTCTCGACAGAATGCTGGAGGAGCTTCAAAACAGGTTTTCTGGAGTTGGGGAAAAAATATTAATTGGCATACAGGCATGTCACCCTCCATGGGGAGGTCGTCGACCGATTTGCGAAGGTCAAACCAAGGCGATTTAGCCTAACACTTCCACCTACAAACCAATAAAGAGTGTGAAGACAGCGAGTGATGATGGGGAGAAAAAACGAAGCAAATGAAAGGTAATGTGATGAAGGAAGCAGCAAGTGAGGAAGGAAGCAAGTGATGAGGGATTATTATTTCCTCCTTCCATCCCTTTTTTCAGTTTAATCTCATTACTAACAACTTCTAATAATTTGACATAGTTTATGATTTAATTGGAAAATCAAGTGTTTTTAAATAATAAACCTGTTTCTGATTCTGATTCTTTGATTTTTTTTGACATATGGGTGTTGAGAGATGTATAGATCTCTTAATGTTGCTCTCAAAGTGCACCAGATTGATGCTTTTAACTTCAATATTTAAAAAAAATCTTCCTGGGGGAGTTCCCCCCAAAAATAGTACTTTACCTCTGCTTATGTAACTCCGGTGTAGTGTCCCCTCGGCAACAGATCACTCACAGTTGGTGATTACTTTCCTGCATTTCAATGGACAGCATATAAAAAGGACACGTGAGCTTCATTGCTTAAGAGATCCTCACATGCCATCTCTTTAAAAAAATAAGTGTCCAGTCAACAACAAAACATCAGTGATCGTATAGTGGTAGTATATTTTTCATAAGCAATGTGAAACATTAAACTTAAAAAAACTGGTGTACAAAACTCACATACCTGCGTTGATCTCCTGGAGTGTCTCTACTCTTTCTTCTCCACCATTAGAGATTGCAAACATTTCAGAAACAGCTAGAGGTAGGGGACAAATAACTTGTTCGCTGGGCATGTCAAAAACCTCCCTGCTTTGATCAAGACTTTAGGGAGCCTTTCAGCCCCTCTGGCAAAGGGGCTGGAAAGCAAGTTTTGCAAATGCAGTACCATCTACATGCTTGTCCTGTTCCAGACACTGCTCTCAACCACTCAGGGCCTGCACAAATACCTGCAGAAAGAAACAATTGACTTGGTGCAGGCAGTAAATTACAAAACAGCAGTTGAGAACACACTGAAAAGTTACAGAAGTGACGAGAAAGCAAGACCAAGGCCCTGTGTAATGATCTTGATATTCCCGAAACTGTGACACAGAGGAAGAAGCGTAGAAACATGGAAGACTTTGTAGTCGAGGCATCGTGTGGAGCACCTCTCCCATTAGCTTATTAGCTCAGATTAGCTATTGATGATCACGTTGATAAATCATATAAAACCAATAGCCAAACACACAAAAAACATGCTGCTGTGTGAGCATTAAACGATTAACATTAAACTAAACAAACACAACAAAACGTTATAGTCCTTATAAAATAAAAACATACATTTTGTCCACCAAAATAATACAGGCACCTTACCCTCGAGAGATCCTCACATGTTATGAGAATCTCCCACAATCCATTGCCGTAACAAAGCTAATGCAGGCACACGTTTGTTTGTGACACCAGATGGCGTAATTCTTCTTCTTCTTTTATTTAATGGCGAATCGCTTCCACTTGGAGCATATATCGCCACCTCTGGCGTAACCCGAATTAATTCTCCGATTTAAAGCTCCCATGTCATGCTTTTCCGGTTATTACCCGTCCCCTTGTGTGTTATGAAGGTTTTTATGCATGTAAACGGTGTGCAGAGTCAAAACCCTCAAAGTACACCCTGTAGCGAGTAAAACTCTAACACAGAAAATACCTCCCCAAAACGCCTCGTTGGAGATACGTCACTGCCCATTTGATTCTTCCGGGTACCGCATGATGTCATGCGGTACCCGGAACGAAATGGACCAATCCCGAAGAGCTATGGCCACACCAGCAGCGGCGTGTTCCTCCTCCAGAGGTTCGAAGAACCGGCATTTCACAGACGAAAGCTTCCAAAACATTGCCCAGTTTGAGGCCGGATATGCACAGCTTGTTTGGACCGTTTGGAGCAGGGGAAGATCTGGGTATACAACCTGTAAGTTTGCATTGTTATTTGTGTATTTATCAAACAAGACTGTTTAAATGTGTAAACTGTGTTGGACTGCTAAGCCATTGACACAGTGCTAACTGTGCTAACTAAGTTGCTAGAGTTTCCATATATCAACTCTAATATCAGCAGATGGCCTTGCATACATGTATCTCATAGCAGGAGAATGTCTGCATTCACACACA